TCTAAATCGCTGTGCAAAATATTTTTTATTTTCTGTCAAGCTTCCACCAAAATTTTATTTGCCAATTCACCCCCTCTTGGCCATTTCATCGGATCAATTAACTCAACAACTTACCTTCTGTAGGCATCGTCTTTAACAATTTCTCACTAAATTGATGGAGCCTCCACATGAGACTGTTCTCGATGAAAATGGAAAAGTTATTCTGAATGATGCCTATATGATTTTTTTGCACAAGATAGCGCACTTTACTCATGATTGCTATCCACGATCAACCTTCTATTGCTTCTTCAGTTCGTTGGTCCAGAGACAACTAAGGTTGTATGAAGCATTGTGTTGTCATTTTTCAAACTTACACTATAAGCTCCAATCGCTCAAGAAAAGAGAATATAACATGCGCGTGTATCTAACAAAGGTGAAAGAGGTATGTGATGCTCTTGTGTTATGTGGGCATGTTGCCTCGCAGGTTCAGCAGGTTATGAGTGTTCTAAAGGGGTTGCCTCATCAATGTCAATTATTTTTGCCACTAAAACCACCATGAAAGATTATATTTCTTTGGATAATGTTTGTACTACGCTGATAAATATTGAGACTCATTTACTTAGCTTTAAGGATCAACAAGATGCTCGATCGATGTCTACTAATCTTGCACTAGGGAAAGTGGGAAATGATTCGTATGGAGTGCATGGTAAGGATGGGTGTAGTGTTCAGCATCAAGTGTAATCTTATGGAGGATGAAATAGAAGGAGAGGCCGTGGTTGAACTCGTGTTCAGTGTCAACTTTGTGGCAAGATCGGGCATCTTGTAGAAAAGTGTTGGCATCACTTCAATCAAGATTTTCCCAGGGTAATGCCCAGTGATTATTCTCGAACATAATCCAAGGGTGAGTTCGTAAATGCTCAATATTCTTCCTATGATGATGGAAACAAGGCATGTGATTGCTGCTCTCACAACGTCAAAGCCAGGTTTGATGTTCAATCACAAGCAAATCTTGCTACTACCCGTGATCGTTGGGTGGTGGATTCGGGTGCAACCCATCATGTTTCACCTAATGTTGTTGAGATTGCTCAATAAACGGATTCGTTGGTCTAGGTAAGCTGGTTGTAGGTAATGGTGTTGCTTTTTATGTGAATATGGTTGGTTAGTCTTTGATATCTTCCTCCTCTCGAGCTTTATTATTGAGTGATTTGCTTCATGTTCCTAGTACAACAAAGAATTTATTGTCGTTTCTAAACTTGCTAAGGACAATGATCTATTCCTAGAGTTTCATGCAACTGGTTGTTGTGTTCATGATGAATCCACTAGGAGTGTACTTCTTCAAGGACGTGAGAATGGTGGGCTATATACATTAGTTTTGTAGAACAAAGGCGGTGTGAATGATTTGTCTAGCTTAGGAGCAGTCAATGGTGCTTCAGCTCAGGTGTATATTGTGTCTACTTCAAGTATAACTGAACTATGGCATAGGCGTTTAGGGCACACTGCTAGTAGTACTTTAGCAAATGTTTGTAAATCAATGAATGTACATGTTTCAAATGTTGATATTAATAAAAGTTGCATTGCTTGTCATATGGGAAAAAGTCAAAAACTCTCGTTTGTTGATTCAATTACAAAGTATGAGACTCCATTTCAACTTGTATTTACGAATTTATGGGGGCCTCCTCATATCTCTTCAAACGGATTTTGTTATTATGTGTTGTTTATAGATGCTTGTACTCGGTTCACATGGCTCTATTTGTTAAAGATAAATCAGAGGCTTTACTGAATTTAAACTGTACTTAGTTTGGTGCATCCATCAAGGCAATCCAAATCGATTAGGGAGGAGAGTTTAAAAGTCTCTTTACAGTGTTGGCTAAAGATGGAATTTCACATAGGGTCACTTGCCTGTATACCTCGGTGCAGAATGGTGTGGTGGAGCGTAAGCATCGACACTTAGTTGAACTTGCTTTTGTTTTGTTAGCTCAGGCGTCCACGCCTATGAGATTATGGTCTTATGTTGTTGTAACATTTGTCCATTTGGTTAACAGGCTACCTTCAAAAGTATTGGGAAATATCTCGCCTTATGCGAAGTTACATAAAAAAGGTCTGATTATGGTTCTTTGAAAGTTTTTAGGTGTTGTTGCTTTCTATATTTACGACCATTTCAAAATCACAAACTGGCGTTTAGATTGCTACCATGCACATTTCTCAGATTTAGTCCTCGACACAAGGGGTTCTAGTGTCTTGCCCATGATGGTCATGTGTATGTAACTAGACATATTATGTTTGATGAATTATCTTTTCCTTTAGCAGGAACAAATTCCGAAGAAGGTATGGTGGCTTCGAGAAAACAAATGTGTGTTGCAATTGATATTGTTGTAAACCTAAATAAGTTGCATCGTGACATTATTCAAGGTCTCAAATGACGTCATCCTTCACTTCTACTAATGCTCTAGACGATCAAGTGTAGCCGAGTAGTAATAATGATCCCCTATTACCTGCTGCTAGTGTAGCTAGTGATGATGGGGTTCCAGCTACTAATGTCGAGGTTACTACTGAAACTGTAGCTCCTGAGTTTGTGGATGAGGTTATTAGTGATTCTCATGTTTTGGATCAAGTGGTGGAACAGCTGGGTACAAGCAAAGTGGCATTGGATCCAAACATGACAAGTGTGAATATTCATCCAATGCGTACTAGAAGTAAGTGTGGGGTGTATAAACCGAAAGTTTATACAAATTATTTTGAAGATACAAAACCGTCTAATGTGTATGAAACTATGCAGTTGCCCAGCTAGACGTCTGTTGTGCATGCTGAGTTTAATGCTCTTAGGGGAAACAATACACGGTCGTTAGTGAAGCTCCCTGAAGGAAGAATGGTTGTTGGATGTAAGTGGTTGTTTAAGTTAAAAAGGAACCCGAATGGATCAGTTCTTCAGCAAAAGGCGCGTCTCGTAGCTAAGAGATATTCACAAATACCCAGACATGCCTTTAAAGACACGTTTAGTCCAGTCGTTAAGTTTGCAACTTTAAATACAGTGATGTCCATTGTAGTCACTAGAAAATGGGATTTAAGGCATGTACATGTGAACAATACCTTCCTCAATGGTGATTTGAGTATGTGTTTACGGAGCAACCACCGAGCTTCAAGGAATATGCTGTCGACAGAACTAAACATGTGTGGAAACTTTAAAAAGCGTTATATGGGTTACGCCAATTTCCAAGGATCCGGTATCACAAGTTCAAGGAAGCTGCTTCAGATGGGTTTTCCAGTGTCTCGTGCTAATACTTTATTGTTTGTTAACTACAATGACGGTGGTTCCATATTCATTTTATTTTATGTCGATGACATTCTTATAACCGAGGAATCAAAGGCTACCATTGAAAAGGTGGTGACGTCGCTGGATGAGAGGTTTTCACTCAAAGAACTAGGTCAGTTGAGTTACTTCTTGGGTGTTGAAGTAAAACAGTGTGATGGTGCTCTTGTTCTCAGTCAAAGAAAGTTTGTTGTAGAATTATTAGAGAAGACTGGTATGATAATGGTAACTCAGATATAGGAATATTACTTCAAGATGCAAGTAGTTATCAGAGTATTGTGGGGCCGTTGCTTTATTATTTGTGTCACACAAGGCCCGATATTCCCTTTAGTGCTGGTAAAGTGACTCAGTTCATGCATGTGCCGCGGGAGGTTCAATTGGTTGATATGAAGTGTATATTGCGATATATAGATGGCACGTTGGACCATGGATTAGTTTTCTCACCAACCATGGCTGGTTTGCAGGTTATTACATTTGTAGATGCAAATTGGAGTGGTAATGTCGATGATCGTATGTAGATTTCAGGATATGCAGCGTTTGTTGGTAGTTGTCTTGTGGCATGGGGATCCAAGAAACAAAAGTTGGTCTCATGCTCGACGATAGAGGCAGAGTACAAAAGTATAGCTGATGCAATAGCTGAGGTTACCTGGGTCAGTGCTTTACTAACAGACTTAGGTGTTTAACAACACAAGGAACCTATGGTGTGGTGTGACAACACAAGCGCCGTGGCGATAAGCGCAAATCCGATTTATCATGCACACTCAAAGCATGTGGGCTTGGATATTCATTTTGTCTGGGAAAAAGTGGTTGCTAAGGAGATTTGTGTGAGCTATATACCTGCTAATCATCATATTACAGATGGGTTAACTAAGCCCTTAGCCAAATGCGATTTTGAGGTGTTCAGGGACAAGATTTGTGTTCAGATATAGTTGTGTCAACAGGAAGGGAGAAAAAAAGAAGAAGTACAGAGAATGTCAGAGTTAGTAGCCGTTACAGTAATTATATTCACGTGTAGGAGCAGTTACTTAGTTGCAAAGTTGTTGCTTGAATTTGACCCTTCTGTACTTACTCTCATGCATACTATAAATAATGTACTGTTGTATCTAAAATCATATCAATATATTCAATTTTTGTTTAGCGTTTCCAACAATGTAACCACGATAAAGATGTTTCCTCCAAATAGTGAATCTATACGAAAGTGATAGAATTCTTATCCTATATTTTATTTTAAGCAATGTTCGACCAAAAGAATTAAAGGATTTGAAGGGTGATAAAATAGGTGAGAAACTCTAACTTTAGTAAAGAAGATGATGAAGTATAGTATTAGTACTTTTTTGGTATCAACGTCAACATACCTCAATACTAAATTGTTATATTATCTGATCGTTAATGAATTAACGGTGAGAAATAAAAAAATACTATCTAAAATTCAATGATTAATTAAAACTCTTTAAAATTTAATGATAAAATTAATATATAAATTATCTAAAATTCAATGATTAATTAGAACTCTTTAAAATTTAATGATAAAATTAATATATAAATTAACATTTAATTACTAATAATATAATTTACCGTAAACATTAGTCAGATATATTCTCTTTTTTAGTCTCTTGTTGATGGTAAAAGCCCCGTCCACAACCCCCCACCCCCACGCCCCCTCTTTCCAAAAAAAAAAAAAAACCTTTATGCTTGATGTTGATGACTGTATGACAGAGCATTCAATACAAAAAAAAAGTATATAATAAACGATTCAAGCTCTTGTGAGTTGATTGGAGCAAAGCACAATTAGAGAGAAAGTGACGAAAAATGTACAAGTCGAGATTGCAAGAGCTTTGCCAGAAGAAAGCATGGAGGTTGCCAGAGTACAACACCACAAAGCAGGGCCAAGACCACAATCCTCTCTTCGAAGCCACCGTAACCGTCAACGGAACTTCGTTTCAGTCTCGGAATCCGGCCAGGTCTTCCAAAGAAGCCCAAAACGACGCGGCTCATCTCGCTTTCCTGCATTTCACATCCCCTCCTCCTCTCCCTGATTCTGGTACCCTCGTTTAGTTTAAGAGAAAACCCAAACCCAAATTGCAACATTATTTTTAGTTTTTTAGTTTTGAATATGTGTTTGCTCTTCAAAAAAACTGAGGGAAAAAACACTGATCGTTTTTGTATATAAAGAAATGATTGTAGATCATAAAATCTTTGTTATATGCCCTTACATCTCTTTAAATTACTTTTGGTACTTGTTCACGTTTTGTTTTGCTTCAATCCCTTGCCGGTATTTTACTAAATTTAGCATGCATATCTTTCCACCGTTGGTTGCTGTGATTTTCTTGCAGGCACGTCAAATGCAATTGCTAATTTTGATACTAAAATTGCTGATGGCACGATTTTGTCACCGGGAACTCAAGAAAATCGACATTCTCAGGTCGATGAATCTGATTCCATTTGCAAACATAATGAAAATGTTAAAGGTCGATTTTATGATCCATGTTCTGTGATTGTTTCTCTTTGTTTTACTTGATTATTTTTCTGATTTGGAATCGGTTTGCTTATAGACATTCAACATATGTATAAGAGCCTACTGCAAACTTTTGCTCAAAAGAGAAACCTTGGCCGACCGGTGTATTCTTGTGAATTCGAGGGTCCTCCTCATGCTAGTCGTTTCCGGTGCAAGGTCACTGTCAATGACAAAACCTTTGAGAGTTTGGAGTTCTTTCCAACAATAAAGGAAGCTGAACATGCAGCGGCAAAAATCACTTTATCATCTTTGTCTCCTGATGCAATCGAGAAGGTCCAGTTTATTGGTTAATGAAGTGTTTTTGCCTTTGTTAATTTACTTTCTTTTAGGTTATTGTGTAAGTATCTACATATTTGTTTACTTCTTCAGGAAGACTGTAACTTATACAAAAACCTTTTGCAAGAATTGACTCAGAAGGAAGGTTGTCCCCTACCAGTTTATAATACAACTCGATCTGGTGAAGCCCATTCATCAACCTTTGTTTCCATTGTTAAGGTAAAAGGCGAGGTATTCACGGGACAGGAAGCGAAAACCAAGAAGCTGGCAGAGGCTTTGGCAGCAAAAGTTGCATGCAAGAACCTAAAAGAACGTATGTGTTCTAGACCCCCATTCTGTTTTCATTTTGAGAAAAACAAAGAGGAAAATGAAAGTGCACTTTTTTCTCTCCATTTTGTGGTTTTTTATTTGAATTGCTTTGTAATGTGACTTTCGGATGACAAACAAAGATGGCTTTCTTGAATCGAGTTTTGACAAGTAGGAAAACCTATGATGCCATAGATGAACTTGATGAAACTGAGCTCTGCTCTGAAGTATAGGTCAAGCTTGGTTAACAAGCTTCCTTAAAACAGGTAGTTCCTGAACATATTGATTTTCACAATACTGGAGACTTGTAGGCCTGTCATGTCAATTGTAAACCATTTGTATACGTATGCTAATTTTCAGTCTCTTTCTGTGAGTATTATGATCAGATTTGAACGTTCCCCTTTGTGAATACTTACAAAGTGCTTACAATTATGATTCCTTTTCAGGCAAGTCAAATAGGGGTTCGATGGCCATTACTCCTGCCTACAAGGAAAGGCGTATTCTCTCATCTTCTAATGTGCCGTCAAATGTCAATGCTGATACCCAACAGGATCTTGGATGCATAGCCAGCTCATTGCTTAATGCTGTCCCAATCTCAGGAAAGAATCCACAGCAGGACAGGAGTGAGTTTTAGTATTTAAACAACTTTTTACAGATTGAAATTGCGCGCAAAAGATTTTGCATTTAGGTCCTTATCTGTGCAATGGTTATCTTTTCTTGTAGTATTTGTGCTTGTAAAGTGGCCAATAGTTGGCTTAGAGACAAACTATTTCATGATTTCTTGATAAGACCATTAAAGATCTATACAGAAATCGTGAGTTGAAATGCAATTACCAATTATTGTTTTATCCGTTATGTATTTACACATGCTATCCTTTTCCTCATGCTTTACACAGGTTGGACACTTATTATGCTACATTGCACCATGCAAGTTCTTTGTTTGCTTACATGGATGAGTGCAAACATGCCTGTGATATGAAAACACTTTACAGTTCAGTTAACTAGATTGCATTTCTTTATCTTTTTGTAGTCAAATTACATGCGCGCTATAGAATATTAGCTTCTGAGGTGTATTTCTTTCTGCATTGTGTTCATTCTGCTTTTATGTGAATTGATTTGCAGTTAATGAAACATTCTGCATCCATGATCTCTCTGTTTTCCCACAACCAAAGATAACTACAGATTGGCAGAGTAGTTCATCCTTATCAGATCGGTCTGATCAGTCTGTGTCAGTAGATGATCTTTCTGCATCAAATTTACCTCAGAAGAATTCAGCTATTACCAAATCGGTCGAGGGTTCAACCAATCAGTCAGTTGAAATCGGTAACATATCCTGCAACAGGACCGTGGTTCAACCCTTTGTGCCAAACATGAAGATTCCTGCAGGTAGCACTGTATTGCTCATGAGTGATGGCCACTGGGTTACTCTGAAGCTTGGATCTCAAGCAAACCAGGATTCATGTGAAGTGTGAACAACAAGATTTTGTTGCTAATAATCAATTGTCTTGACATGTTTCTATTAATCGATTCATGTTAAGCAGAAGCCGCTGAATGGTATATTTTGAATCAGGGGTGTAATGAACCGATCTATAATTGTGATCACTTTTTTGAAGATGTTCATGTTTGGTTTATGTTCGTTTAAATTTTTTAGTTTTGAGTTTATTTATTTATTTTTGAAGGAGTTTGTATTCGTTGGTTTAGCGTTGACGAACATGTTCATTTAACTTTTGCCTACATAGACATTTAGTGTTCGCAAGCATGGTTGTTTTAATATTCGGCAATCAACACACTTTTTTTCCACTTTTATTTGTAAGCAAAACAAAATTGATAAATTTACACCTCTGGTCTTTAAGTTCCTTGGTTTTATAGTTTGAACTCTAAAGTTCATTTTATATTCATTTCAGTCCATATCTTTATATTTAAAATGTAAATATAATAAAAATGTGAAAATAAAATAAAAGAAAACAAAGAATAGAGTAAACGAGTCGATGGACGAGTTTCTTCGCAAAAATAAACGAACTAAACATACTTTTGTTTATATTCATCCGCTTATTAAATGAATATAAAAATTTTGTCCATTCTTGTTTTATTTACTTCAATAGATGAATGTAAATAAACAGTTCACGAACAATTTGTCCCACGATCTATTTAATTATACCTCTAATTTTAATCATAGATGTAAAAAGCATACTAATTGGTTCAACTAAGAGAAATAGGTTCGATGTTACAATCATGCAAGTTGAATTGTAAAATAGTACTAATTATGTTTTTCTAATTTTTTACTATTTCCCCATAAATTTAACTTATTATTTTAGAATAATTATTAAAATCAAACATTGAACTTTGATCACAATATATAATATGATATTGCTTAGATTTTTTCTGTTTATGTATGTAAAAATTTATTTTTTATTAATTATATACATTTATTAACGAATCAATTACCATTTATTCATTTTTGAAGATATTAAAGAGCTTAGAACGGTTTGATTAAGTATTTTCTTTTTGAAAAAAAAAATACCATTCATGTTGAATCGAATACCAAAGATAATTTAATTTAGGGTAATATATACAAATAGTTCCCAAACTTTTAAGATGCTTACATTTTTGTCACCCAACTTTTATAACTTAAAATACTGTCATCGAACTTTTAGTTCGTTTTCATTTATTTCCCTGTCGTTAGGGCTGAAGTGGCATGCTACCTCCGTTAATCTTCTTCTTCCTCCTTCAGCATGCTACCTCCGTTAATCTTCTTCTTCCTCCTTCGTTAACCTTCTTCTTCTTGTTCCTTTTCCTCTTCTTGAGACTGTATCAAGTTAAAACCTTTACTTTTTCTTCTGGGATTTGGTTTTTGAAATATTAAAGATCTTGATGCTCAATCTTTTCGTGTTGATGTTTGAGATTCATGTCTTCAATTCTCAGTGAAATCTTCCTTTATGGGTTTATGATCAATTCCACGTCCATTCGAAAAACCCATCTCGTTTAATCTTTCTGAGTTGTTTTCCTCTACTGGTTTTATTACGTTTCATAATCATAAAAACAAATCCATTTCAATAATTATAATTAATAAGTAATTTGTTTTTTTTATAAAACATTCTGCGAACTCCATGGATTCAGCAGAATTGATTTTCATAAGCTTTAATTTCTGGGATTTTCATAAGAAGAAGGTTACTTGGGTCCTCAAATCCAACCCTTCAATTCACTAGGATATCCATCCTCAGTTCAATAATTCAGTTTTCAATCTAGGTGGCCATAAACCCATAACCGTAGAGAGCTTGAGTAGTTTCAGTAGCAACAGTACCGCAGAAAGCTCAAAGCATTCAATACTAAAGGATACCAATTTTTTGAAATTTGAAAACGAACTGATTCTCTAAATTTATCAGTTTTTAAGCAAATCCATGTACAAGAAAACGAGGGTGAAGGGTTAGAAGATGATGATAGTGAAAGTGAACCAGAGGAAACAACACCTGCACCTTCAACGGAAGACATTGAAGTTGAAGCCAATGAAAACTGAAGGAGGTCAAGTGAGAGAAAATCCAATTGACAAATTTGAGCTCCCAAGAAGCAAAGAAATGATTTCTATTGATACATTTAAATCTCCCCAATGGAAGACGAGATAAGAAGAAGAAGAAGCAGTAGCCGCCACGTAAGAGAGTTAACGGAGAAAACGTGCCACATCAGCAAAACTAACGAGAGATAACGGTAAGGACAGAAATGAAAACGAACTAAAAGTTCGATAACTATATTGCAAATTTTAAAAGTTAGGTGACCAAAATACAAACACCCTAAAAGTTTGAGGACTATTTATATACTTTACCCTTTAATTTATTAAACTTCAAGCAATCAATTTGTTAAAAATTAAAAAATATAAATTTTCATATATACCATTAAAACTTCACCTAACTATTATCAATATAACATTCGATTTGAAAGAAAAATCAAATCGAAAATACTAGATGGTTATGCAAACCAGACAGAATAATCGAGTACAAATATGGAAAAATATTGGATTAAATAACTTACGTATAATGCAAATACAGTGTTCCCCTAAAAGCTACAAAATTGGGTAAAATTTCTCTTCAAAATTGGACATTCCTAACCAAAAGCTATATAATTCAATACTTATAGCTCAAGAGGGCCAAAAGGGTGGAACCATTGAGGATCACATTAGAACTCCCTCGGTGTTCTTGAGGGCTTTCTTTGCAACTTTAAATTTATCATTTACTTTCTTGTTAGTTTTCACAACATACTCCTTGATGAAGAATTCCATACCTTGTCGAAGAGTTTCAAGCTCGGGGGTGACTGCTATACGAGTGAACATGTTCCACATAACCTTATCAGGATACTCGAAGATGGCCTCGAAAAGCATTCTGAAATGCATGATCCTTTTCGGGCTTAGCATCTGAGGATCACTCCACTCGACGGTTTTCAGGACGGCAAGGGAAAGGGTAAACGAGGCGACCATTTCAGCTAGGAATTTTGCTAGGTGCATCGACCTTAAAAGCGGCATTGAATCCAACTCCTTGAAGTGATCCCAGAGACAATACTGTGAAACATGCCATATTAAAGGTCAGAAAATAACATTGAGCAAGGTTAATTTTTGTGCATTCGTCGGACTTGATCCAAAAATGGAAAAGATAAGACTACCTGTAAGGTAAACTTGTGGTTTTTGTCATGCTCACACAACTTGACTGCAAGAACGGTGTAGTACTTGTTAAAAGCTTTCTCTTGCAAGCAGCATTCCAAAAGAACCCGGATAATATCTCGGTCCTGTAAACGGATAATTGACATAACAACTATTGATTAATGATAAAAAGGAAGCATGTCTTTCTCATTCTGAAGAACAACGCTGCCTACCTGCTTTCCAGGCAAATCCAACCGTAAAAGCTTCTCAAATGCATCGATGTAGTCTTCCCCGCTCATTATTACACAAAAGATTGCCCTCCTGGCATCTGTATTCATCCTCTGTGCGGCGGCAAGCTCTAGCATTTTCTGGGCTTCAAGAGCCTCTTTGTCAATTGTGTTGGCAACCTCTTCAACATTATCTGTTGCAGAGGCCATATCCCCGGATAACCACCATTGCCCCTTCTTGTCAGGATCAAGCAGTTTGCTCCATTTAAGCCCTCTAATTAAAATATCCTCAGCCCGTAACTGAAAGATCAAAGACCATGTCACAACACGCAAACAAAAAGAAAAGCACGCAAATAAACCTGTTAACATCTTAAGAACCTTCTTGAGAACAGTGATAATCCTATTTATCATCATTGTTTTATAGCCGACAATAAGCTAAACTAAAAGGTTTGAATGAAGACACTTGAAGCAAGTCAAATTCAATATAAAAGCAATACCTTCTGTAGCCATTTCTTTATCCGAGTGTGTTGCACCGTATCCTCCTTCGGCTTTTTCTTGTTATTCTTTATATCACATATTGTTTCAAGCATGAATTCCATCTACAGAAGTAATAATATAATAAGATATTGAAAAGAAGAAAAAAAATATAGCATACTAGATCCAAAAGAAAATTAAAAAGAATCTTACTCTTTTTCCATTTATTTTAGCCTCACCATCTCCGGAGGGAGCCTTTAACTCACTCACCCTATTTTGAACACAAAGAATGAAGTTTTTCATGGCAGCCGGATCATCACCCCTTATTTTCATCCCACAGCCTATCATTCAATGAAATTAATATTACAAAAAACTTGCTTATCCAGCATCTGGGAAATTTTTATCTACACATGCATCAACATTATGCAATCGTCATAAAAGGATTACTTTATGCACCATAAAAATTTGCAAAAATACAGGACGGAAAGGATAATCCGTGCCAGCAAATAAAAAGGAAAAGTAAATGGGGCATGGCAAGTTCAAAGCTTAAGCATTCTGATCTACAAAAATACTTCTTAACAATCAAATGATGAATAGAATTACAGAAGAATACACGGAAAAAGACACGGAAAGGTACTTGTAATAATAAAACTTACATTGCAAAACTGTCAGGATGGTAGAAACATCAATCTCTGTCAATCGCTTGCTCAACATGATCAGAAAATCATATATTAAGTCACTGGGAAGCAATCATTGGAAATACTGCTGTGAGAATACTGTATGCTAAATTATATGATTGCAACCAACTCTAGAACAGAAATGTAATGACCATGAAGCAGCTACTATCAAAGATAATAGAAACTTAAGCTGCATGGCAGAGAATATTCACAACTGCTATACAAGATAACTGTAACAGATTTGTAGGCTAAATCTTAGGATTAATATATATTGTATTTAATTTAGGATATTACTTTACTTATTAATGGACATTTGTACTTGAATATATACCCATAATGTTGATGGATAAAAATGAGAAAGCAATCTATTTCAAAATCTACAAAACAAAATCACAACAAATTCTTCAGTAGCCATGACGGCATATATTCTATGAATCTGACCACATTGGCATCATGATAGAGAATAGAATACTAAAATGCCCTTAACCGTGAACTTATTCACTCCATGAAAATGCTTTGACTAAGAGCACCATTATTAAAATAAATAAGATTTTCTAAGAGAACCTACCTCGAACAAACT